TCTAGACAATAATTGTAACTGCCTCAGACTATATATAATGATACAAGTCACATTTATACTCGTGATAATTTTTCTTATTTACGTTTTGTTTTAAATAACCTACTATGAATATTATCCAAAAAAAAAATTTGTCGAATAAATTCAGAAAAAATATTAAAGTAATGAATTGAAAATAATAAATCTGTTTGGTTATTATAAATTATAAAATGCAAGAGGATGAACCATCATAAATATTTGTTTATTATACATATAAGTATAACTCTTAAAACTAAACATTCAAAATAAAAAAAATAATTAATAGCTTATGATTTGTTCACGTAAATCGCAAATTGTTCATACAAGAGTAGTGTACTTCAAAGGGTCGAAGTTTTAATCATGTAGAAATGTAAAATTTACTATTTTTTTTTTTTTTTTTTTTAAATTTCAATAAAACAATTACATTTTTCTACAAAATTTAACCTTATATTATGAATTTTCATCTGTTCAATAAGCATGATTGTATTAATACAAAATTTAATATTTAATATTAATGTGTATTATTGAATTTATTGCTAATTTATTTTTATTTTTATGTAGTAATAATGATTACTTCACACTGGATGATGACTGGACGATGCACTGCAGAAATACTTATCTAAGAACATTTTAATTACCATAAAAAATAAAATAGAAATACTGGATATTAAGATAAAATCTATAAGTGACATTTATAGCCGTAAGCTATTTTATATGATATTAGCTAATGTTCAATACTTGAAATTTATTATAATAAGATTAATATTTTTAATATTTTTTTTTCTTTTTTCCTCACGGGCAATGATTTTTGTAATAGATAGTGAATTTTCAATTTTTTACCTCGACTAATAAAACGTTATCTACAATGATGTAATTTTGGAACAGATAAATTACCTGTGAGGTAAAAAGTATTCAAAAAGTAAAAAGATCAAACAATATAATTTGAAATCGAATGAGATATAGGTAACAAGACCGGTAGAGTACGATTGAGAACGTCGTACCTTTTTGACAACACGATTGAGAACGATATTGGCAGATCAAAGAAACAATATTTTGTACTTTATGATCAAACGATTGAGAACGATTTTTCGAGCGACGTTATCTATTCGTGAAAAAATATACACAGCAACGCAACAGTGAAAAAACGTCGTTGCACGATATGTAATAGTATATATATATATATTATTATATATAAAGGTAACACAAACACGAATCGTAGCAATAATAAAATCAATTTAAAACAGGAGCGGACGCAAAAAAAATTTCGGGGGGGGGGGGGGGGGAAAAAATAAGAATAATTACCGTCAGGCCCATATTTAAAATATTGGCAACCCTGGGCATATTATTTATGCCTCCAAAAAAAAAAAAAAAAATAAATAATAATAATATAACAATTATTATTTCGTCCATAATCGAGATTCTTTAATATAACTTATAAATGGAAATCGTTTAATACTTATTTTAATTAACAAATTAAACAAACTATAACATGATAAAAAATACTATTTTATTTTTTTTTCATTAAGTACATCATTTTTAAAATTAATTTTGCTAAAATATTTTGCTGCCCACTTGAAGCTTCCGGAAATGTACCTACCCGCGCCTTCTCTAAATGCGGGACTGATTACCGTTATTTTGAAATAATTGACTATTGTCAATCGTTATCACATGACTATACAACACAAAATTTAGGGAAACCGTCAATCATAATGTACCATTGTAAATAATATTATATTGATTACGTATATTTACTTATTTTTACTTACTGATAATAAGCGACTTACAAACACGCATTATTTTTACGAAGTATTGCCTCATGGAATTTCAAAAATTTGAGTTTTAATTACCAATACCTTTTAGAACGTTTGGAAAATTACAAATTATTACAAATTTATTTTTCTTTACAAAACATTTTTTTTCTAACATATTTTAATTGTATTTTGAACAATTCATTTTTTTTTTTAAGGTACATAATGTAGTACATATAATTATGTTTGAAATTAATCATCCGTTCATTTCGAGGGGTGGTTGAACCCCCAAAACCCCTCCCTGCGTCCGTCACTGATTGAAAACAATATTATCAAATCCGTGGCCAGCTTATTCGTATCAGATTATGATCGGATTATTTCGACAATAAATTCTTACAAAGAGTTTGAACAAACAAATGACATCATGAAATATCTTAAAGTCACTAGAAATAAGTATATCTATAATTAGATAAAAATAAATATATCTTAGACTGACAAATAATTGATATATGTATATCTTATTTCTATTTTATATTTTTAATTAATGTGGCAACGTCACATAAAAGTTGCTAGGTAAAAACGTTCTCAATCGCATTCAAATAGTGTTCTACCTAACAAGAGTTCTGATTAATAAAATCTGGTATATTTTTTCCTGGAATATTTTTATTATTACAATACAATATTAATAGGTTTGTAGATGTGTGTTTTTTTTTCTATTTTTTTTTTTTTTTCGTATCAATTATATAAAATACTAGCCGACCCGTCACAGCTTCGCCCGTGATTGGTTATTTATTTTGCCTTCGACCATGATATGTAGAATTTTTTATTCAAATATTATTGTTTAATGTGATCGGCAAGTAAATATAAAAAAACGGTTAATGAAAACGGATAAGCAAGTATATTTTGTGTCGGTAATGGAAATCATATTATTTGGTTGACTTGTGGACGTTAATGATATCAGAATATTAGAGATTGCATGTTTATAAATTGACCTAACCACGATATGTAGTGTATTGAGTAGGTACGATCGTTTATAAAAAGTTCTTTATTTTCGTCTACTTACACTATTATACATTTATATTCGTACATACGAGTATATACGAGACGAGTAAAACAACCAGATGAATATGTATTAATATATATTTTTGTTAAAATAGGGTTTTGAACGCGTATGATTGAAAATTGGTATTGAGACGTTCAGTGAGATTAACTCATCTGCACTAAGATCTAAGAACTTCTAAATAGTGGACCGTAATTCACAACTAAGCCGAGGATGTGTACTCCAATTTTTTTCTTTTTACAAACAAACAAACAACACGAGCAATATAGTACCGCTGACGTGGACTCGTTATTGTGGGGACATTATGATTCAATCGAATTACTTATTTATCTTCAATCAGTAAACATACGCATGGAGTTTGACCTCAAGTCATATTCAAGGTCTATCCGTAGACATTTGGGAAGTTATGGAAAACGTTTGGTACGGAAATCCAATGAAAAACATTCTAGAAATTAATATATGGATGACACGGAACGACCTTGTCAAACGGACGTTAAGCGGATGATACGATATTCTGATCGTATTATCATACCATAATAATATGTGCGCAAGAGGTATTATTACGGCGTCAACGGTCAGAGGTGTGAATAAATACGATAAAATAACCCGCCCGAGAAAGGGAAACAACCCGATTCAAACGGTCCGAACTCGGCGGTCTCTCTCGGTGCCGAACTCATGCAATATTCATGTACAGTCGTATCCAATCAATTGACGATATATTATTTACGGGCAGAGCGTTGACAGCAGCCGCATCAGTAGTACCGGCGGTGTCACCGTAGGGAATCAATCGCCCGACCAGGCGCTGCTGTTGCTTGTTGTTCTACGATGCGATCGCCATGGCCAGCCTTTGTTGTTTCTTTTGGGAAATATTAACTCGCGTTATCGTCGCGTTTTCACCGCACACAAAACCGTGTTTGCCGTTGGACCCGAATCATCGATGTCGCCGGTAAACGGATTACGGCGAGTGCGAGGCGCGCAATATCACTCAGTGAAATTTCACTACCTAACAGACCCCATTATACGTTGGCGAGTGAATAATCTCAATAATCTCGCCGTAAAAGCGAACACACCCGACCGCAAGTCGTACTGGACATACAATACACCTTCAACGATCCGAACGGTGTACAAGATAATGCGGCGAACACTATATTATAATACAGTACCGTGTTAGCGACTGTATTACGGTTGGATCAAAGGAATTTGTGATTTAACTGCAAAACAAAAGAAAAAACCGTGACCGAGACACAAGAAAAAAACTATACGATCAATCACGAGATTCGGAAGTCGAAGAATATTACACAATATGACTGTAGTCGGTGTGCCCTACTGAACTACTTATTTTGAAAACGAGAAATTATAAAATCAAAAAAAATCTTTTATATATCGGAATCGAACAGTAATTTAATACCTATTGTTGTTGTTTTTTTTTTTTTGTTTTAAATCATTTTCCGGAAAATAATACAAACAGAATAGTCACATTTAAGTGTATATAATAAGTTAAGTAATCCGTTCGTGGCATGATATAAATTACGATATGATGACGTATGTTTAATTCCACTAAAATAAATGTCTACTCGGAATACACTCCCAACCGCTATGAAATTGACAAAATGTACATTTCTATTTCACCTAACGATCCTAACGTAAAGGTCTAGCACAGCGGTTTTGAATCTTTTTGAGGCCACGACTCGAAGACTCACAAAGAATTTGAGTGACCCTTTTATTATGGTAATATTAAAAAGTAGTGATGATTTAATATGATCAATAAAACGTTTTTATTGTCGATCCTAACCTTTGATCAATTGTAATTCTCAACAATGATTATCATAATGATAATGTACAAATAAACCGAAATAGTTATTTCATATTTTGGCAACCTCTGGTTCGAAAACCACTGGTCTAGTACGCGTGTCCAGGGTTTGGGGTTCCACGAAATCTAGCTAGACCTGTCAAAAAAAAAAAAAAATGTTTCCGTACCGATTGCGATATACCGTAATTCTATACCGTTCAAATGTAAATAAAATACTCTTCGCTCGAAAGGCAATTGACAATAGAATAGGTTTTTGTTTTACCCAGCGCGCATGAAAACGATGTGTTTAATACCCTCGAGAGCTCTAAGGGTAGGAAAAAAAAAATTCGTGTCCGGTAACAGTAATCGTTAGCATTAAATGACTGACCTGAATGTTCGGTGACGCGCTGTGCTTGAGGAGCAGATAGATGACGGTTGGGTTTTGCCGAACCACGGCCAAGAAAAGCGGCGGCAAAGTCATCAGGTACCGTTTGGTGTACACGTGGGCCATCTCGTTGATGCGGTCCAGCGACAGGGAGCTCTTGATCTTGAAAATCATTTTTGGCACGACCGCAGGACAGTCGTCATTGTCTGCGCTCAACAGCGACGACGATTCCGGTTGCAGTGGCGACGGCGCGTGCGGCACGGTCATTAGCGGCAAAGTGGGCGGCGGCGGTGGTCGTCTGAACGGCAGTGGCGGCGGTGGCGGTGGCGGCGGCGGCGGCGGTGGCGGCGGCGGCGGCGGCGGCGGTGATGGCGGAGTTTGTGGCTGTGGTTGCATTGACGGCTGCTGTTGCGTTAGCGGCGACGTCTGGAACTGGAGCTTGAAAACGGCCGGCGCTGGTTCCGGAGCCGTGGAACCGGCCGCGGAGCACGAGCCGGCGGACGATAGCGACTGAAACGATTGGAGCGACGACAGCGAATCGAGCAGCGGCAAGCGGCCGCCGTTCTCCATCTCATAGTCCGCGTACCGGCGTTGCTCGTGCCGGTCGAACAGCGTGTCCACGTCCAGCTCGTTGCTGCTGTCTATGTCGCTCACGTTTCCGCTGCTGTAAGTGTCCCGGAATGACAGGTTCCACAGTATGGCCCGGACTACGTCGCTGCTGCGGCGCAGCTCGCTCATGATGCCCTTGAGCTCGACCGGCGCGGTGGCCATGAAACCGGCGGCCGCACACGTCGCTTTCCTCGGCTGCTCCGGGCCGGCGACGGCGGTGACGGTGACCGGCACGGCTTGCGGATGTCCGAGGCTGCCACCACCGACGTACAGCTCGGCCGGCGTGGACCGTATCAACTTGCTGCAACCGGCCCGCAGCCTCTGGAACAGTGCTCGGCTCTTTTTCAGCGGCTTTTCGTTGTCCAGCGATAGCGACCGCTGCCGCAGGATCACCGAACGGTTGGCCGAGCGCTCCGCGATGGCCACAACCGCCGACGTCGGTGACGGTGACGCCGGCACGATCACCAGTTCTCGGTTCGGCCGTGGCTCGCGTGCCGCCGGCACGTGCACGTCTGAAACGTGAAACGAACGGTTATTGTCATACAAATCTTATCGCGTTGCTCATTCGAACGTGTTCGACGTCGCGGTTACGGTAACGGTACGCGTCTCGATAGAAATATCTGTCGCCAATGCACGGACAAACGTACGACGGATCTTTTGTCGGCGCGAACACGAATACGGATGCAGAAAACCGGTTTGTCGAAACGCTAACGCGAACGCGTTCTTTCGTGTCCGAGAGCTGCACCAACGTCGTACTTGGATTGTGCAGCGCACGAAAAACAAATTGGACCGAACAAGTGGTGAAACAGCTGTTGCGGTAACCCGTTCGAACGCATCGAGTCAACTTCAAGAGACGACACGTGGATATTCGGTTCCTCGAACACAGTCACGGAGCGTAAGGTTCACATGACTGTATTGAGCCTGCGTCACTTTGCGCGTCGTTACAGAACACAGTGTTACGCCGATCGTATATTTTTTTTTTTTTCGCACTTGCTACAACTATTGTGCAATGCCTAGAATGGTCCATTGAAATATTTTTTTTTAACGTTTTGATTTTCGATCAAAACCCGGGCTTTATCGAATCTTCTTTAGAACATTGTCCTGAACGTGGAAACGAATGTGTCGTTTCTTGCAACGTTTCCGTAGGACATTTTCGTTATCGAATTACAGTTTAGATTTTTTGGGGAGGGGATGGTCGCCGGGGGTTCCGGGAGACACGTACCTGTGCACGTGCGACGATCGGCGAAGACGGTGACCTTGTTCGCCGGACCGAGAGCCGCGTCCTCGTCGATCGTGCACTGGCCATCGCCGGCCGATGGGACGTCGACGAGCCCAGTTGCGGTGAATGGCGGCGACTGCGACCGCGATTGCCGGTGCGCATCCGGCGGAACGTGTCCGCCGGCGTTCGGGTTGATGCCGTTCTCGAGAAGTGTTCGCACCACGTCCAACGAACCGTGATCGATGGCCATGTGCAGAGCGTTCTTGAAGGACAACAGTGCTTGGCCATCCGACGACAAGGAATCGCGGGGCGAATCATCGTTGTCGGACCTGTAGAGAAACAGGCACGTTTATTACGTTTCGGAGGAACAAAGCCGGAATAGGAGGAGGAAACAAAAAAATCAATCGTAAATAATAACGGTACGAATCTGCACGCGGTGGCCTGTAAACGATAGTGGTACGTGCGAAAAAGTCTTGTACCCGACTACGAGTCCGCCGACCGCGTCATTACGCGAACGTAACTGAACGTACGACCGCGTTCATTACGTTTTGTTTGATCCGACACCCGTTGTCGCGACCCTTCAACGAAACTATATACATCCGTTACTTTCGTTAGAAAAAAAAAAAAAACATTCGTAACACGATTTATTTGTATATAAATTATATTTATATGTATGCAAAAGAGTTTTTTTTTCAGACAACCTCACGTCGGGACTATAGCTGGTTGATTGCAATCCCGAATAAACAGGCGCATAATATATCCTGGAAAGAGGTTTTTCAGCTTTTGTTTATTTATACCAAACGGTATTTTGTTAATGACATATGCAAATTGTTTGTACAAAAGGTTTGAAATGTGTCAATTAGTTTAATAGTTTGTGCTCTTAAAATTTGACGAGATTCTCTATGTTGTATATTTCGCATAATATTCATTTTGATGCGAAAATAAATCCGTAATATGTGAGACCAAAAATGAAAAAAATTAAAACTATAAAGGAGACTGGGGTAAATGTAAATATTTTATTTTTATAAAATATTATTATATTATAATTACTCGTTATGTTTGTGCATATATTTTATCTAATTACATTTAATTGACTAAATCAACAATTATTTTTAATCAAAGAAAAAATGTTCAAGAACTGAGGAATTTTTATAAATTTAACTTTGTAATATTTTTATAATATTTTCGTCATTAGAATAGTTTTTAAAATACAATTCATTTTTAATTCAAATTATTTAATTCATAATACACTTGATCAAGAAATCTGCTTATTGCATTATACTTGAGCCAATAATCCACAACCAAAATGTATTATATGATTATTTGTTAAAGAGTCAATATATTTTTTCGTTCCAAGACTAATCTATTCATGTTTACGTTGATATCGGATTATATGAAAACCTATAGGTCATATTTATTAAAAATTATAAATTCACTATATGACAAAAATAATTTGACCAAGATATCTATATCTACATCGCTCTATCATAGAACAGTATTATTCAATATAATACCCATAAATATAATTGGTAATAATTAGAAATAATACTATACCAACAGAAGAAAGTACTACTATAAGAAAACACGATTAAGACACCCGACCTTATACATATAAATAGGTATCAATTATTTGAAACTTTAAATAGATATTTTTAGTTGGTAAAATTATGAAAAGATAATAATTTTGGAAATTTCACGAATAGGTACTGAAGACGATTAGAGCAATTCAAATGTAGAAAAACAGGACTCATGGAAAATTGTTCGGCCGAGTAAACTTCACAAAAATGTAATACAGAATTAAGGATAGTTTTAGAAACTCGAATTGTGGTGTGATGAATACGATATAAGCATTTAGTTGATTAATATTCAAATTTAATTTCTAGCCTGCAGATAATTTCTAAGCAAGAGACATTGTGAATCAATCTTGCAGTATTTTTGAATCAAAAAATGTAAGTTCAAAACAAAATTCTGACATAATGACATAAAATGGCAATCTATGAACTGTACATAATTATTGTACACGTATTGATGATGCTATTCTTAGAATAATTAATCATAAAAAACAACAATTACCTATTAATATTACTTAATTAAATAATTAATTAATATTACTTTATACATTGTAATGTAATTTTTATCAACTCCTGGGTGGGTTGATAAATCGCAGCTCCTCTCGAATATCAGTTAAATCAGATTATACGTCGTTATTAATAAGTTAACAAATTAATTCAAACCAAATCGACGTAATGAAGTATTTATAGAGAATTTCAGCCGTTAGAATAAAAATAATATATTATCTGCATAAGAATATCATATGTAGTATGCTAAGTAGCTGAAATATAATGGATATGTTTGTAAGTGTATCTTTATATCTATAAAAGTGATAAATAACTATAAAATGTTAAAGAAAAATCATTGACTGCTCGGCAGACAGTCATGAATGAAATGATTATCGATTGTAAATATTGTCACCAAGTTAGGATGGACCAATCGAAAAGTGTCACGCGTTTATATCTATACAATATGATACTGTTCACCAACTAAAAACCGCAACTTGGTTACAAATCCGTTATAACAACTATAACTAATGCATTTTTTAATTGTTTAATATATTTACAAATGTTTATTATTTTAGATGAGAATAACATTCTGATACTTTTATAAATGTGTAATGTATTATAATATCCAAATAGGAAATAGTTATGCCTAAAAGATTTCCTATAGATTATGAACTATAATTGTTAGTTAAAAAAAAAAAAAAAAAAAAATCATTTATCATAATAGTTGATTAAAATTATGAAGCGTAGCCAGGATGTTTAAATGAAAGGGGCAAACCACTTTTTTGGGTAGATAAGGTAAAAATGCTTTTGGAGTTCAACCCCTCCCCCTTACCACCACTAAATTTAAAAATTAATTTCCAGCATTTTAAAATATTTTTAATAATATTTATCAAAATATAAATATTATAATACATTAATAATAAATTAACGATGGTCAGCAGCGGTATCATCACCACGGTATAAAATGTGGTATAAAATCTATAATAATTATTAAATGTTAATAAATGTTAAGTGTTAAACGAGATTTACAATCACGTTCACGATAACCACCAAAAATATTATAGTAATCACGATAAAAATAATAAACTTATATATTTACCAATGACAAACATCCATTATTTGTCAACATTTAGTCAGTACCAATGTCTTAAAATACTTGAATACCATATAGTAGTATACTAGTTTAGTACACAAATATACACACAACATATAAGGAGGTAGTCCCCTCATTCCCCTCTTGGCAATAGCACTGATTAAAATGAATATTATATTTTGATTGTTCCAGCCCATAAACCGATAAATAAACCGTCATATTAAATCAAATATTTGAATAACGCACTGACAAATAGAATACAACAATTTTAATTGTAATTAATACACTACGAATGAAGCAAGACGATAAGTCATCATGGTACAGTTAGTTAATATTATTACGTTGCCATCGGGTTTACCTGATGGTCGATTGGGTGAGATACACGCTAATAAATTCAATCGAAATTTGATTTGTAAAGCTTAACAATGACCAATATATTACCGTAACAATGTATATATTGTGTACAGTATTCTACGTTTACTGCAGACTATATCAAATTTTTAAATTTTGATTAAATCGTTCACGTGGCATACATGTCACGTCTACATCATAATTGCAATGATTGAAACCTGATTTCTTCCGAAACATTAATACCTGCGAACATTAACATTTCATCAGTCGGCCGCCAGACCATTATTATGTTTATTCTTTCATTAGAGCTGCTTTTATATAATACACACTAAACGATTATTTAATGTTACCGTATCCGATTTCTGTTCATTAACAAAGTCTGTACAGCGTTCACCGTATACGATTTATAGCAGCTTAAAAGCGCGTGTACTAATTGATTTTTGAGAATCTTAATGGAAAATAATATGAAAAAAGAACTACATTGTTTTCTATATGGAACAGTGGCGTAGCCAAGGCGGAGGGCTAAGGGGGCTATAGCCCTTCTATGGGCCGTGTTTATATGTATAGTGTATCTATCTACTAAACTAGTATACAATATACAAATATACTTTTATTTAAGTATTTTAAACCTTTGGTATAAAGTAAATTTTGACGATTAACGAATAACAGTTGTTTGTCTTTGGCATAGATATTACAGATTACTAATACTTCTAGTTTCTACCATAATTATCACTATCTTTTCGATGGTTATCACGCAAGGTTGTGGCGAATCACTATCAAATATTTAATGACGTTATTAATATGAGAAAAAGTGTTAATATTAAAATAAAAATGCCATGCGTATGTAAAAGGCAAATTCAGAGAGAAAACTTTATTTCTGAAAATCCAGAAATATATTTTAAATGTTCTACTTTTATTCCTTTTCTTGACTATTTAATAGAGTCAATGGATGCTCATTTTAATCAAAAGCTTATTGATGTTATGCCACTTGAAGGACTTATTCCGGCCAATTTAAATATGCATGACGATGAAAATATTAAAGCTGCTAAAATATCTCCATGATGATACCTCATTTACAATCAGAGCTGAGCTGTTCATACGGAGGCAACAATGGAGTCAAAAAACTATTCCAAAACCGAATTCTGCTGTTGATTCACTCTCTCATTACACCAATCTTCAACCTAACATTAAAATACTTTTACAATTATTCGCCACGTTACCAGTTACCTCTTCCAATCCGGAAAGAAGTTTTCTGCACTTAATCACTTAAAAAATTATTTAAGAAGCACCATGTCGGAAAACAGACTGAATGGATTAGCTATGGCTAATATAAATAAAAAAGAGCAATTCGATGAAAGTGAAATAATAACTGAATTTGCCAGAAATTCGCCAGAGGATACAGCTTTCAGAGTGGAGCAAGTGACTGAACACTGAAACCAAAATTATTATTATTATTATAAATTATATGTTAATAAATATTTTTAAAACTATACTAAAATGCTTGAATTACATTTAAAAACTTGGTGGTAGATGGTGGGGGGGATTAAGGGTGAATTCTCATATCCTCTCTTACTTTACTTACTTACTAAAAAAGTGATTAGCCTCTCCCATTTAAAAATCCCGGCTACGCCACTAATCTGGAATATGTATCGATCACTTTTGGTGGAAAGTGGGAACGAAAAAAAATATCTATCACTAAAGCAGCCACCTAGCCCCGCTGGCTTCGCAAACAGTGCAGTACACGGGCTATTTTCGAATGGTTTTATCTGCATGTGGTATATCATACAGCTATCATATTTTACCACGTAGCAATAAAGCAATAAGAACTTTTATTATTTCGTGACCGCAAAATCACTGGCTTTATCTGAACTCTGAGATACGTGGTGTCGTCTACCGCAGAATTGTCTCCGCATATAAAGATAGTCCGGGTACAATTAATGCAGACGTATCAGCGCGTTTCAGAAGTGTTCAAAATTCTTTCTGCGCACATCATAACACCGTTCGATGCAAAGTAATTAATTTACCGTTTATTCAAAAATTGTGCACACAGTGCGAAATTGACTTGTCAATCACGTGCGACATGCTATTTTTACGGTTTTCCACGACGGACAGAAAATTTCGTCGCGTAAAATCGGGATTACATGACTATAACGTAATAGTGTATTTCCGGCGATCGATAGTTCATAAATGATTTCGTTATTATTATTATAATGTTGAATATTTCGAGAGCTATGGCGAAAGTCTCGGGACTAAATGCTAAACACTGCACCCGTAGAATCTTGGTGTATTCTATGCTGTGTAAGACAATGTGTATACAGTGTAAGATTGTATACGGGAAAACTTAACGGTCCAGGCAATGCGGTTCAATCGTGGTTTAATCTGACGAGCAATTTCGTCTACCACGCAATTTTCTCAAACTTTGATTTAGTAATTTATTTTATAACATCAACTGTTACATATAGGAAGTAAAAATCTGCAAATGATTCCTGTCATCCATGTCATATGAAACTTTTAAAATATTTTGAGCGTCTTAAAAATCGAATAATAATAATAATAAAGAACATACACCATTCCAATGTTCAAATTTTAGAACCAAAAATACTTCCGTCCTATGCAGACTATAAAATACATAAATAATATTTTATGAATTTCCCAGAAAAATACCACGGTTTTGACATTTTGTATGAAAATTATTATTAAAATGTTGAATAACTTTAATGACTGGTTGTATTTTGTATAATATTTAGCCAGTAGGAAAAACAATAATCAATATTACTTATATAATTAATGTAAATTTGTACTTTTAAATACATTATATTAAAAGGAAAATTAAATAAAAGTACTAAGTATGATGTGATTTCAAGGGATAAAAATCGAGCGAACATTTTATGGATTAAAATAAAGTAAATAAAACATATAACGCCGAGCAACTATACAACACGCAATCGTGGACCACATAATGAGTTAAATATAAAAAGTGTGATCGAACCTGTTAACTACTATAGATAATTGCATCCTAGTTGAATTATTTATCTATTAATTTTAATGGTCGACATTTTAATGATGATGTTATTATTAGGGAACGGATTTATTTCTAAAAATATAGAAATAAAAATATAGAAATATATATATATATATATATATGTGTGTAAATATAATTTATAAAATATGTGCTAAAAACATCCAAATATGTAGGAAAAAAATTTAATTAAAAAAAAATTATTATTAATAATATATAAATAATTCCAAATTTTTAGAAGGGTGTCTGCCATTCATTATGCCATTGATTGATTTAAAATCAATATAGCCTGGAATTTTTTTCTATAACAGCATGCGTTTTCTTTTTTACAGCATATCCTATTGGTCCGTTTACTAATTTTCATTTTGCAATCGTTGATTCGACAATTTGCATACCATCATTTAAGAAAATATTTTGTTTCTAATTTTGTAAATGTATGTGCAATAAAACTAAAATTCACTGAGATGAAAATTATATTAGTTTTAATGTTTCATTTTGCATAATATTTTGAGATTTTCTAATAGCGATAGAAGTTACTAGATCCAAATTTGAAATAATTTCTTGTACTTTTATACAAAGAAGATGCATGAATGAAAAGATAAAATATATTTAAAAATATTAACAAATTAGTAAAATTTTAAAAATATGTAATTATACCAAACTATATAAAAATATGTAAAATAAAAGTAGCATCATATTAATGGTTTAAATCATGAACATTTCTTATCGAATCTTAAATATCTCGTTTTAATAAAAATATGTATTTACATATAAATCCGTTCCCTAGTTATTATGAACAAAAGTTAGAATTGCATGAGGTTTAAATATTTTAATATGGTTTTCACATCACACGCATCATATTCAAAAATAACGCCTTACTAAATTTTGCGACGGTTTACGTGGGAGTCATCATATTTTATTAGATATAGACGACACGTATGTAATATTACCATTTACATATGTAATATTATCTAAATTAAAAACTAAAACACTATTTTTATGAATACATTAATAGCATATTTTATAGTATGTGGACAAAAGCTTCCTTGCTTAATTATCGTAATAAATACTAGCAACTGAAGCATGACTTTAATATAAATACAATAATAATTTACACTAATCGGATTTTTATTTGAACTTATTAATTTAACCCGTTATTATTTTAACCTGTATGGTCATTCATTCATAGAATATTGTTTATTACAGAAAATTAAGTATAGAATCATTTTAATATTTTTAATATAAACATATTTCTATAAGTTGTGCTCAACATTTTGCCAAAGAGATGTATCCTTCTGCTACCGGATTTATTTCGATAAATGTAGGACCTAACATATTTTAACTATGGATTCATTTGATTCATAAATAATGTAATAAAAAATAAAAATATAAACTTTTAGTTAAGATAACTCTTGAATAATAATTAAAAAAATTAACTCATGATAATCTACAAATACATCCAACGTAGAGCATATAATGATTTGTTTTTTTTTATTATTTTTTTTACTTAAATTATAACTTAATTTTAATGAGTATAATTGTAATAATTATTAAAATAACAATGCCATATAAATATATATATACCTGACTGTTTGAGTTTTTGTTTTTTGTGAGTTTATTTCAGAATTATGTGGAGCATTGTTAAATGTATTTTCCGGTGGTTTTGAATTTATCTATAAAACAAAAACATAATATAGTAAGTACATAAAATAATTAATAAGCCATATTGTAATATTCTTATATTTAATAAAAATAAAAACATTCAAAAATTATTGATTTCCGTAACTTATATTAATATCATCGTACATAAATCAAAATTTAAACATGGTAGTTAAACAACTATACTTTTATCGACAAGATTTATGCAAGTTATAAAGCATCATTAACACTGCGTATGCAAACTATATTTAAATTTGTAATTTTTTTTGCTGTACATATTAAAGACAAAATTGTATAAGCATCTAAATATAATTTAATTTTAAAATATTGAAAAGAATTATTTTATTTTTAAAAATTAGCCAGTTATCTTATTTTATTAAATAATACTAAAATATTTTCTAAATTAAATATTTGAAAATTATAAAAAATACTTCATTGTACTTGATTATATAAAACACATTTCTTTAAATACTTTAGAATAATAGTAGTCATATTGTTAACATTAAAAAAAAACTGAATCTGTTATAATTAAATTATTGTTTATAAATGTATTCATTAGTGTTTAACAATAATCCTACAACATTTTAAGAATCACATATATATTACAAGTTCCGTAGAAAATTAAACATAGAAATATTTGAGTTGTTGCCAGATTATACTTTATACGTTATAAATAATGTATTTCTACATACTCATTTTGAAATAATATGTTAATGTATTTATTAAAATATCTATTTAAACACAATTTCAAAGTTTTTCTTTATTATTTCCAACCATAGTGAAATCATCTAATATTTTAAAATTGCAAGTCCCTTGATTTAGAAGTGATGACATTTGTATGAGTTTGGTGTTTACTAGAGTAAGTTCGTGAAATTAAATTTAGGTTTTCATATTATAACCTACAGTCGTTTGAGTACGGCCTTTTAGACCACACATCCAAACATAACTGCCTTCATCATTCACGATTTTGCGCTAGCATATGCCTATCTTCCTCCGGGTAAAAATCTGTTACATCTTTTTTGACACAATCCTCCCATCGTATTCGAGGTCTTTCTAGTAGTCTTTTCCCTCTTGGATTCTCTAGTAAGACCGTCTTTGTCATAGCATCAGGTTTCCTCCACACATGACCAGCCCATTTCAATCTTCTAATTTTTATCTCCTTTATTATATCCGATCTATTATACAGGTCATATAGCTCCTCATTGTGTTTTTTACGTCATTCACCTGATTGCGGGTCATGACATAGTCCATATATCCTTCTTTATATTTTTCTTTCAAAGACCCTCAGTTTTGACTCGTCACTTTTCCTTACAGTCCAATATTGTGCTACACATAGTACTATAGATCTTATAAGTGTGGCCTATAGTTGAACTTTAAGTGTCTTTGAGAGTATTCTTGACTTAAGTAAGTAACCTATTGCGTAATAACACTTGTTGCCCATTTGGATCCTTTTAAATATCTCATACTCCATATTGTTTGATTGGTTGATCATTCTACTCAAATATTTAAATTGTGATACATTTTTGAAACTATAATTCCCTAACTTTAGAAACTCTTCTGCTTGTCTTCCGTACCATTGTCTACTTATTTCCATATATTCTGTTTTCTCCTTGTTAATTTGAAATCCTACTCTTCTTGCCGCTGTTATAAGTCTTTCACATAGACTTCTCACTGTATTTATATCATTCCCTAAAAGCACTATATCATCTGCGTATGCTAAAATACTTATTGATGTTCCATCAAGTTTCACCCCTTTATCTGGTGAGATATTCATCATTCTAATTACTTTTTTCAGAACTAAATTAAAAATAATGATGGATGGTGCATCACCTTGTAGTAAGCCTTTATTCGCCTGTACTTTCACTTTTACCATGGTCCCATTTAATGTGGCCTTAATTAATCCTATAAGTTCTTGTGGAAATGTTCTAAAATGTTGTATATATTTTCTCTGTTGATATTTCTTTCTTTTCTGTAGTATTCAATCTAATGATTGGTTAGTAGCAATTTCCATGTTTCTCTATCACCAGCCTTTCTCTTCAATTCTTGATACGAGTACATCCTTGATCTTCCATTATCTGACTTATGTATTGCAATCTTGGCTTTCCTCTATAGTTTTTTCCGTCGATTACACCTTCTAAGATTAATAATAGCAGCCCATCGTGTCTTAAAATATGATCTATTAATTCATTTCGCCTTTTCTGTATACTCTTCTACGTTTATTTTTTCTCCGATATCCTTTCTAAAACTTTTTCATAAGTGATTCTATTAGTTCAACTTATCTTTTGCATCCTCCTGTAGCACCACATTTCGAATGCTTCTATTCTTCTCATTTCTTCTCTTGCAATAGTCCATATTTCACATCCATATAACATAATGCTCTAGATGTACGTTTTTAGTAGATTCTTCCTGATATTAAGGTCAATGCTTTTTGAAATAAAAATATTTCTTTTCTTATTAAATGCTACTTTAACTCGAGATATTCTTTTTATAATTTCTTTTTTGCATCTTCCATCTGAGCTTATAGTTCTACCTAAATATATGAAGTCTTTTACTTGTTCTATAGTTTCACCAACCTTTAATTTTATTCTTGTTCTTATGTTGTTACTATCATACACTTTTTTGAAATCTACAAAAATTGTATGTAGTTCTTAATCGAATTTCCAAGTTTTTTGAGCTAGTTGTCTTATAATAAATATTTTTACTACTAGAATATGTATAATATTACTATCGTACGTTCGTAAGATGAACTTCACCTTTAAAATCTTTGAATCTATTAACTTTTCATTTTTCTATCGGTTTTTTTTTTAATTTCCGTTTGGATATTTATCGTCCTCCGTAAGAGTATACTCCGTTAATAATATTATGATGTCACATGACTACCAAAAATAACTATGAATGTCGAATGATGAATTATGACATTTTGTTGTTATTAGATTTTTCTCCTTCAGTTACTCGCAAATTTAAAATCAAAAATATCTTCTTGTGTAAAATTAAGAAATTTTTTTCCAAATAGCAGCCTAATATCACGCTTAATATGAGCCATTTATTTGTAATCTCAGAAATTTATTAGGCTTCCATTTAATTTATTGTAACTGATATTAGGAACTATTCATTGATTGTTAAAAAATATGGTGTATTGCACACTGTATATTTGGTTTATGTATGATTTCAATTATAAATGTATAATTGATGAAGTATGTTTTACCTTTAATTTTTATCTTTAATTTAAAATTAATTTTATCATGAATTTCAGTAATGTGAAGAAAAAAAATTAATAGCAAAGCAAGTGCAAATGGTATGTTATAGCACATTAATAAGCACCTAGTAGTATTTTATAAAAAATATAATCAACAAACCTGAAATTTATCTCGGTGTATCATTAAAAAGTGTTTAACTTTTGAAACATCATTTGTTCGAATAGCCACTTCCAATAATTGACTTTCGAAACTCAGGTGGTCTGATGCAGAGGAACCAATACTGAAAACATGAAAACAAAACAAGAAAAAAAAATAAATAAACAAGTATAGATAAAAAACACATATGCGTTCACTTTTCATTTACGAATTTCTTATGTTTATTATAATTACGAAATTTAAAAAAAATCAATTTTTATATTTCATAATTATCACAGTTTTCAATGAAGTGAATTTAGACTTAAATTTTATCATTAGATTACTGTACATTATACCATAACATATAACATAGTTATACGTTAAAATTAATTCGCATAATTGTAGTATGCATACTTATTATATAAATGGCTAAAACTTTCGATTAATAAATTCCAAATAAAATAAATAAAAATGTTGTAAGTGGCTAGTTATAAAGAAGTAAACAAAATATAAAACATTGTTTTTTATGATACATTAATTTAATAATTAGTTTCATTTTATTTATTCAGCAAATATATCTGTACATAATTATTAACGACTATTTCACCATGAAGTATTCTATTAACTGTTGTTTTATAAATATTTTTTTATTATCAAATTGTATAAGCTGTGTTTCATTTACTTATAATAATAGTTTCAAAATACCGGTAAGGAAACAGTTTGACATATATTGTGTTACATAATAGCTTTTAATATGTGTGCACTGTCCATTTTGTTTTTTGCACGTGTATATATTGTTTTGTAATAAAGTATACCCATCGTTTAAATAATTTCAAAACATACTGTTAACATAATATTGAACATAGAATATTTCTTTAGTGATAATTGAGAAAATATTTTTTCCTACATGTCTCTTACCGAATATTTATTTAATTTTTTATGTATAAATTTTCATACAAAAATAATTTACATTAATAATAATAACACACATTTCCATTTTTCATATTGTCAAATTAAACAATTCTTGATAAATTAATCTTTTAAACAAATCATCGAGGACCAATTTAAACTTATTGTGAAATAAAATCTAAAGGAAAATAATTCGAAATACTTATTTATCGGTAAATAGTTACAATAAATTATAAAATAAAAAGTTTAATTTTTTTCTTTTTTTACTCATATTAAACGTATATAATAATAATTTATGACATTAATAACAATGTATCAAATAACTTATTTTGTTTTTAAAAAAAAATCTGATTATTATTCTAGACAAATTTAGGATAGTGTCAGCCATTGACATTTTTACTCATGATAATTATTATATTAATTATAAAATTAATTACTATTTTAATTACCATTAATAATTAAATTATTAGTATAAAAAATAATATCTGATCTTAAGACTAATAATTTTGGATATTTCTTGTTGAAACTTATAATTTAACACATAACCTGATTTTAATTTTAATAGTACTATCCAAAATACATGGAAATAATATGAAAATAATATTTGGTACGGATAAAACTTTATTTTCATATATATAGTATTTTAGTTACAATATAATATTATTCCGAAAAAAAATTGGGATGGAGGAGCAGAACGGTATCAAGGATAATATCTAAGGTATTAAGCACTCTTAAATCCGCTTTTAGATATATGTTTGATAAAAGGATTTCGCAAAATATTGCGCCAGCACTGTGGATAACAGTATTTTTTACATTTAAATGCAACTCTTACGATATATTTTTTTAATATACATTCGTCCATGATGAAATGCATATTGAAAAAATATATAAGATGCAAGTGTAATAATGTAAAATTTATAGTTATGTCGTTGAGAAAAAAAATATTTAAATGCAAAGTAAATACAAGAAATAAAATATCATTGATCGATTATTGAGCATAAAATATAATTTAGGCAAATATACCACGTTAATATTTTATTTTAATTTTATTTCATACAAATAATTTTTCTTTACTCAGAAAATCGTTAACAGTCGTATTATTCTGAAGTTACAACTTAAACTTTGTATAAATTATTAATTAATTATTTTTTGATAATCCAACGATAGAAAAGAACATCAGTTAGAAAGTTAAAAAATATGTTCCCTAGTCAACAAAAAAAAAAAAAAAATAGATTTTTGAATAGCCATTATTTCAAACCTGTCTAAATGTGTAGATAAAAGTAATTGAAAAATCATATAAAAAAACCTGTATTTATAAGTAATATAAATTTTAAATTTCCGTAGTAAAAAAAATAGTAAAAAAGAGTAAAAAAAGTATGGCTTATCTTTAGACCAATTAATTGTCTGTAAAATATTATATCACAAACTAAATCTACACCAAATATTTGGTGTGTGATAACTACATAGTATAATCGTATGGGTTGCTATTTTTTTTATACAGAATAAAATAATCATAGAGGTCTTTATTCACATTGTGTATCTACTAAAAAATGTACTTTTTTAATGTCTAAAGAAAAATTATTTTTGGTCAACATGACCAACATGAGAACTTTCATTACTCAAAATTCTCTAAATTCACGTAAGATAATTGAACAATGTATTTCGTTATGGGCACTGCAAATTTAAAATTAACAAATGTTTTCAAAATTCATTTTCTAGCTATTCACACGAACAAAATGTACGAAAAAGCCATTTTTCAATGTCTAAATTACAAAATTTTGAACCTAAACCAGTTAGCATTCTATTTATAGTTTGCACTAATTACAATTCACACTCGTTTGGTAGTTGTAAAATTACGTAAATATTATCAAACATAAAATGCTTTATGTATAGTATTTCATGTCACATTCATGTGATATTCTACAAAACATATACTTGCAATTATCTCTCCATACAAGACGTATCAAATCCATTCATAAAAATACATTATTTGTGTTTATTTTTCTTCAAATCATGATTTTACTAATATTATTTAAATATATGTTTGTCACCACCATATATGACAATTGGTTTTGATATTACTGAGAAGGGTTATTTAAAAATAAATAAGATTTTATATTCCATATTACCCAATCTTAATGAATTTTTAAACTTTTAATGTATCCAATTAGTGAACTTGATACAAACAGACATAAGCTAAAAAGCTCATGCTAGTATTTATCTCATCGAACCTATATTATTTCGTAGCTGTATTATTCCACGCTGAATGATATTGAATTTAATGAACGATTCATTGTTTTAAGTCCACTAAGCACCCTTATTAGATCAGTCAATATGACATAATATTGTAAATAAACTTGACCTCATTAACATAATTAAGTATTAAAATCACATACAATTGTGTGTTTTATTTTATATTTCAGAATATATATTTTAAGAACTACTAATTGTATCATTGTTTTATCTTATGGTATATGCTTAATAACAAAGTTAGTAATTTTATACAGAATTTGATATTTTTAGTTTGAATTAAATACACTTTTGGCTGATGGAACAATTTTAAATAAAAATAATTGTAATAATAAATTGAGTGAAAACTAATGAGTTGCATTATTTACTTTATCAGATCGTTAACTTTTTAAATTAAATTTCGGAGAATGTAAGTGTCTGTTATTTTAAATAACATCCATTTATTTAAATAAAAATTAATAGTACATTATACAAAAATTATATTAGTCTGTTAAGTGCCTCGCAATTAATAAAACCCATAAAAATTGTAACCCAATCACTCAATTAAAGTTTTTACTATGTTTATTATAAATATCTTATCTATGTTTGTAGTAAAAATTGTACCTACGTTTTACATGTTGAAAATGAACTTATTACATTGTAATATTTAAAAGAAACTAGAATTGTACATTGCATTGTTCTTTTTTTTTTATCATTCTGTTAAGTTGTAAATTACTAAAATATAGATCTCAAAACTTTGGAATAATATCGTAGATTGATTTTAAGTGGTTGGTTACTTTGTAACACAGTAATGCTATTACGTTATCATCATGGGTAGATAGGTCCACTGGGAAATCAGGATCTTACCGGTAGGCCTTCAACTATATTTAAACTCATAGGCCCCAATCCTAGAATATTAGAAAAAGAAAAATTATTATTTCATAATACTAGCAGCACAATATATTCGTAAATGTGTATTTTTAATTGTTATACCCCATAAGACGCTTCTGCATATAAGTATATATATCAGAGATAACCGCGTTAATCCATACTTATATACATGAATAATAAAATTTGCCATGTCTATCTATGTTATATTATGTACTAAAACTACTAAATAATGTACAAAATGTATGTTTAAATATGTATGAATAATACTCGTAAAAATAAACAATCATTTTTCAACGAGTGTTGATAAGCTACAATGATAAATGATAATTTTGTATCTACGTTTGTACATTGTAATAAATTCAAATTTCGTTATTATATTTTTAAACAATGCGTATCAATGTTAAATACTCAAATATTATAAATGAATAATATTCTATAACTATTAAACAATGTAAACTTTATTCTGTTTATAGACTAATATTTCTAAATTTAATAATGTTTTTAATATTTGTATGATTTTATTTTTGTTGTTTTAATATTTTCAAGTGATTATTCAGGTTTAGTGTCATATAACCACAGTTCAAATATAAATGTAAAATTTTTTGTACTTTGATGCTTTTATGTGCTGGTGAAGTACAATGTATATACAAATGCATACCGTAGTTTTTTTCATTGCTTAAAAACTAATTTTAACAAAATCTGTTACACAAATAAGGTGTGAAAGAAGTTTTGAAGTTGAAAACTTTAAGAAATACATTAATCAAAAACATTTTGGAAAATTTTATGTTGATGAATGTAGAGAAAGATTTACTGAATACAATTGATTCAAATAATATTATTAAGAAATTAAATTCTTGAAGTAGTACATTTAATACATTTTTATAATTTTAATATTTTATTATCTAGTAATAATTACATAAATTATTAATATGTTTTTAGTATACATTAATTGTTAAATATAGCGAGTATGCAAAAAATGTCGTCCTATACTCGTTAATGCCTATATGTTATTGGTACGATTACAAATTTAAAAAAATGAATAACATTTGCATAAAAATAATAAAAAAAAATTTCTTCGAAATTCCCATTTAATAGTATGTCAATTTTGTTGATATGTGTATTGTTCGGAATGAATCATAAGATTGAAAATGATAATTACAGGTTTTCAAAATCAGTGCAGTTATGATGCGTGTAAAAGATGGAAAATCATTTTAAGCCATCGCGATAAATACCTGCAACGCGGAGAGTTTGATGATGGAATAAATAACTTTGATGGATTTAGCCCATCCAGCAACAGTTGTTCGGAGTTCCTCTCGCCGTATTCGCCGAAAGGATTATGGCCCACGTTCGAAGTCGCATTATGTTGACGGTCATCCTGCAAACACACATATGTATGTCTCATGAGATACATTATGAGATAATCCTGGACTAGAATAATGGTCGCATACGCATATAAAACGGAAGCAATGCGTTGGACAAAATATACAAGTATAATTATTTGAGTGCTATAACAACGACTACGACGCGTCCCGTAATGTTAAAATTTTATTATTTGATATTTCTTCACCGTACAGTACATTAAAAACAATTCAATTACTTATTATTTATTTTAAGTAATTTTCACTAGGTGGCACTTCAATAAAATTGTTTGCCATCGTAGTTCATAGACGTGGTATTCTTCTGCAAAGGAATATACAGGAAAAATCAACTCATGTCACTACGGTTGTTATGAGAATGTATTGGTTAGTGGCAACCACCACAAAGTAGCATTCAATTATCACTGGGGGACACTAGTATCACGACCTTTATATGTTTAAATATGCAACATCTTATATTATTATAACATTTATAGATTAGTTTTACGAAATTCCATTTTTTTTTATTAATTTTTGCTAAGCTTATTATCGTATAGTCTTATAGTTTCTGAAGCTCTACAATTTATGAGAACACATTAAAAATATTTATTCAGTGGTTCTATTTTAACAGCATTTAAATTATAAGTCGGTACATTTCTTGAACATAAACACCTAAAATCCGCTCGAAAATCATTTTCAAATGCTATAAATTCGACCATAAACGTTTCTGCCAAAGACAATTACCTTCAAGTTAAAATGATGGAAGAGAGGTGGATTTTAGTGAAATTATAACATACATTATAGGTACCACAAATGTTGATTTTAGTTAGCAATGACGGTGTCAGATTTGACGTCGCTCATAAAAACTCAATTTACCTCACTATAATACGGTGTTGAATAATTATTAATTTGATGCGCAATAGTGTTCACACAACAATATAACATCAAACTATACCCGCACTCCATATGTTCACTATGTACACGTTCAGCTTATAATATTGTGTTGATATTAATTTTAATATTGTAATTAGATTAACTACTATGTATGTTTACTGCAAATTAAATTGAGAGCTGTATTATTCATATATCAAAATATTTAAATAATAAAAGATACATAAACATTTTCGTGAAAAGAGTTCATAAGTAATAAAAGATACATATGAACTCTTTTCACAACACAAATTTAAATATATCAAAATGTATTACAACGAAGTATGAGGTTATTTCAAAACGGACAATTCAACGATTAATTTACTATAAAAACTCATTTTCGAACATTATACTTATGGAAATATAAAATCAATATACATAAGAGTAAAAATAAGGTAAGCTTTTGGATTATTTGTTAAATGAATGAACAACGACATTATTGTGAATGCGCGTAGAAAAATAAATTTAGTACCCACTCGTATGTCACATTCTGATCCCAAAGCGTCAACATCATAATCGAGGTTTTTTGATTCCCGTGATTTTGGGTACGGTTATATTAATTTTAAACGTTAAATATTTATTATTGTGAGATAACCGTTGATTATAAAATAGTTGATTGAACGCTCACGTTTGACGTGATTTAAATTTGTTTTCTCTGTAGTGTTATGAGTAAGTAATTAATGAGTAGTAAAGCAAACTCGGTCTTTGTTTTCAAACCGTATTGACATGAAACCAGTATGATCATTTAAATATATCGTAATATAAAAAAAAAAAAATTTATAAATTAATTAGTTATAAGTAAAGAATTAATAAATATTTTCAGAATTATAATGTAACGTCAATAACTTACTGAATTAATACAAAAATAATAATTTAACTCTTAGTGCGTATATATTTTATCCTGTTCCAAACACGTTTTATACCCAAGAGTGTCTTTACGTAAATATCTTATATCTATATATACTATATAGTATCTATATTCTATATCCTACCACTCCTACCAGTGTCGTCGAACTAATTATATTTTGGAATGACAAGAAAAACTCGCTCAATCCAACGTTAATACATTGCTTTGTTTTTTAGTTTTCCAAGATTAAAATATTAATAATTTTTGCGTTATATCTACGCTTTGAAGATATATTTTATAATTTACCAAATTAAATAATATAAATCAAAAATTATAAATTATAAACTTTGAAATTTATGTACAACAATATAACATTGGAGTACATTATTGTATACAAACTCATAAAAGGTAAATGGTTTTTGCAATATATAAAAAATTATACAATGTATCTATTGTGGATTAATTATTTTACATATTTCAATAAATTTAAAAATCTATTGAGTGAATAACTATATAGGTCTACAGTTATAAATTTCACGTTAAGCTTTCGTAGAAAACCCATTTTACAATAAGAGTCGAAATAAATAAACCACCTTTTTTTATTTACTATATGAATTCATACGGTGTTGGGTTCATTCACGGAGTATGGTATATGAAATTTAATAAAATATACACTTTCTTTTTTGAGAAATATACTTATGTACTCAGTTTTACTTAAAATTAATTTAAATCGATTTTCGTATAAACATACGTATAGAGCGTTATTAATAGAAATCCATTCATATATTTAAACAAAAATGAATGAATTTTAGTATCATGATAATGAACTCATATTCTACGAATAACTTAAAATATTAATTTAAATTTAAATTTAGTAAAAATTTATTAAATATCGATGTTTGAAATTTTCATCAAACATTTATATTTTAAATATATATATGTATACATATAGATAAATTTTGTTCTTTTCACTTTCTTCTATTACGTAAAACCAATTTTAATTTATGTTCTGAGATAACCCTTTAGTTAAAATTCACCGACAGTGTGAACAACGTAATCTATATTATAATGCAACTAAATGTAATATATATATTATATATAACGCAACACGCAAATAATGGTTAAATTAATTAATTAGCAACAATTTTTTTCCACCAAAACAGTCTTGATGTTCCGTAAAAACCATGCGCATAATATTATTTATAAAATAACGCTGATTTAACGATATTAACATTTGTGTACGTTTAAAATAGGTAACAGATTTTAATTGTAAGTAATTGCAATTGGTCTTCAATTTATTTTTTCCGAATATTATATCGGAACAAACGTTTGTCCGTGCCTGCAGTTATAGTACCATTGAAATACTATTTACTGTGCAATGTATACTATTAAATTTACGTCATTTGATTATGAAATAATTGTGTTGAACAATCTTCGACGAAAAAAGACAAATTTAAACCTATAATGTATTCATAACATAATTCCAGAATCAAACCATCGACCAACCGTAATTATAACAGTCCGTGCGTGGACGGAATGGAAGGTTTGACCGTTGCAGTAATAACCGGGTGGGTGCCTGTCATTCTTCGTACATTCATCCTTTACTATACCCTACGTGGTGCATAGTTATCTGTCCGGTTCATCCGCCGACCAAATTCATCTACCTCTGGCCTAACCTACATACTACTTGCAGACTCGTCGTATATTGTATCTTGTGGACTCTGTACACCACGAGCGTGCTCTCTAAAATAATTTTGACCTTTTCTTATTTTTTTTTTCTCTTTTATTTTCAAATATTTTATACTTTCATTTCACACGTCATCATAATATTACATCTTCAAAGGAAGACAATATGTGTGCAGTGAACACGCGCTAACCTCCGATTTGATTAATTAATAAATCGATTCAATATTATAAGTATTTTTTTTTTTCATGTTTTATATATACAATATATGGGGTTGTTTTTATTATTGCTATTCACGTGTATTAGTGCAGTTTAGCAGTACCAGTACAGAGTCGAGCACCGTGTTTGGCACGTGGCTCAACCCAAACGTGACAAATCGTCATTTTTCGCGTCTACGTGATCCTATATTTCGCCTGAGCCCAATCGTCATGAAAAAAGAAAAAAAAAAGCGCAAAAATAAATAAAATTTAGAACGAGATAAGAAGTAAATACGAAAAAAAGTTTACATATGAAAACATTTTAGTGCATTTTTAAGACCGCGTACGTATTTGTTTTTACTACTGTAGTGCATTTGACTTGTTTTAAGAGCTATACCTACCTAATACCTATGAATCATAAAAAACAAATATCATACATGTTAAACTAACAAATTATAATAAAAATATTGAGTCTAAATATACGAAACATATGTTTGTTCGTTGAATTTAATGTATTTTGTATTTTACGTGTGTACATATCATGTTCGATGTGTTAGTACAGTGTAAATTAGCATGAATATTGAAACGAAAGATTCTAATATTCATTAAATTATTATACCCTTGTACTTATTGGCCAACATTGTAATAGTAAAATTTATATGTTATAATGCATATCAATTAAATAAATTATAAATATTTCGTGTATTTTGAATGGTCTGAGTGTGTTAAAAAAAAATTAAATCGATTCAGTTTCTAAAAATCAGTGCTAGTTTTAAATAAAAATTACCAAATGGTAAATCAATTATTATTTAGAATTAAATAAGAAAATTGACTAAATAAAAAATAGTTAATAATCTTATTAATTATATTAAAAATAAAATATTAATTAAATTGATTTAGGTCAAAACTTTAAAATGCACTAAGGTCGTATTGTGCAAGACTAATTAAAGTTAACGATTTTGTGCAAATTAACAGCGTTCATGTTCTAGAATTTTTTTCTCTAGAGAACAAACAAATAAAAAACATATTTAATGCCTTTAAAATGTATTACATTTAAAAAGTTTTTGAAAATGTGTGTAAAAAATTTCAATAGTCTCATACACAATAAAAAATAATAAAATAAATTATAATAAAATAAATAAAAATAAATATTCAAAGTCATCTCTGCAGTATTTTCCGTTTAACTGAACCATTTATCGTACTTATTTAATTTTAATTAATTACTTTGTGCTCACAGTTAACCAGTAGGAAAAAAAATGCAAAGCTATTTACGAAATTTATTTATAAATATAATTATATATTGTATATAAATCTGAAATATTGTTAGAAATCTAAAATTACAAAGTATCTGATTTGAAAACAAAACTTACATAGAGTGTTAATCTATGTAATATTTTATAGGATTATATGATAGGAATGAAATGTATCATTTACAAATAATTTCAATTGATTCAAGTACCTATCATCTAGGTTTTATTTTCTTTTTAATACATATTCCCCCATTCAAAAAAAAAAGCATGTTTATGTCACTGTATACATATGTTATAAAATTATACAATGTGCATTTTTTTTTAATAAAAGATTTGTGTTTCGAAGAAAAATACTTTTTTATTTTTAAATGTTAAAATTTGACATTGCAAATATTAACATATGCAGTATATTAAATACATCGATTTTAAATTCTGAATTTTAAAAGAGAAATGTATTGATTTTATTATAATTTAATGCATAATATAATTATATTTTCAAAATGTATTTTTATTGTTTTTCATGTATATAGACATGATTTCTACCAAAAGGATTACATACATCACTGAAAAAAAGTAAAAAATAAAAAATGGGTTGCATTTGGTATTTTGGGGAAGGGGTGGAATTAAATTTTTTATAAGTTTTTTGAACACTTATAAAAACGTAAAAAATATTGTGTACATTTTTAACCGAGATTCGAATCCTTACTGTTAATAATTTCCTATTATTTTGTTACACAAAATTAAAATTTTTATTCAATAGAATTACTCAATCATTAGGCATTTATAATAGGCAATTTTGTTTTGTTTAAACAATTGTTTAAATAGAATCCATTTTAATAATTTTCTAAAAGTTTTTTTTTTAATGAGAAAAACTGACGAAAAATTATAAAAATACGGCAAAATGTAATGATTTTAAAATAATGATTTTCGTCAAAATCAAACATTTGTATTCATGGTAACTTAAAAAATAATCGTAGGGATAAGATGTTTACTGAATGTTTTTATTACCGTTTTCTATAGATATCATTGTTATGATTTTTTTTTTTAAATATTTTTGATTAGTAATAAAATTAAAAACATTACAAGCAAAATGAAATCATAACAAAATCGGATAATTCAGTGTATTTCCATTAAACGATATTAAATAGATATAGTTTCAAAATATTTTAATGATATTTACCCTGTTTATAGGCATTTGCAATTTTCGAATTTCCTAAGCTTTAATTATCTTTTTTTTTTTTTTGCGAAAAATATAATATTAATAGTTCAACTTAATTTATTTATGCATTTGATTCTTTTTTAATGTTAACCATCTTGAAAAAAAAATAAACTGACGACCTTTTTCATTCAGAATTGTTTTTTCAAGGATAATTGTTTCAATTTTAAAAAAAACTTATTGAGCAATGCAATTCCCTCATCCCAGTATCTAACCTGACTGTGGAGTCTCTCCCGACCCAGGAGTTTCAACATTTTTAGTTTTTTTTAAGAATATATTTATACAGGAAACAGATGAAATGAAATAGGAAATATTATAATATGCTATTGTCAAACCTTTCTCAATACTTTTCATTCGTTTAACGTCAAAGTAAATTTATTCAGAACGATGAATATAGTTTTTGAAATATGTGATTAGTAATCAACATTTCGTTGGATATTATAATTCGTTTAAATCTTAAAAGCTTTTTGATAAAACGACGTTTTCCAAGTTTTGATACTTATAGGTGTCGACGTAGTACTCTAAAAGAATGTTAGTAGCACTCTACAAAGAAATTTTATATTTTATCGTACAATGAACCTAGCACAATGTTTATTAAAAACAACAAATAAAATAAAATTAATAAGTTTAGTGTTAAACGTAAAATATTTGTTCTAAATGTATGTATCAAAAAAAAAAAAAAAAAAATTAATTAAAAATGTAAATATATGATATAATAATTATATTGTTAAAATACCTTAAATGAAAGGTTCCTCCACTCTGTTTTATGCGTACGCATATATAATTTCATCTATTGAGTTTATTTTTCTAATTATAAGAGATCTATTAAAAAATTAAAATTAATTTAAAAAAATTAGCGTTTCATATCTTTATTTTTATTATTTCGATATCTTTTTTTTCGATCCATTTATTGCCCAAATACATTATTATTACTACACTTACAGGAATTATGTTAGCAAATATTTGCAATTGTTTAAGAATGAAAATATGCTCATTATATGTAAAATATGAAAATAAATAATATTAGGTGTCATATCATAAAACAGTAAATGAAGATATGGTTGGTTAAATTAAAAACATACTAAGTGTACAACTCCTATTGAACATAAAAAAAATGAAAATTATAATATTTTACCTATAGCATTTATGAATAAAAACTAATTATGAGGAGGATTATTTTAATGAATGCCTGACATTTTTATAAAAGAATATTTTAAATGATTCCATAACTTTACAAATTGTAAAGTGCCTATTTTATTTTTTTTTTATTTTGTAAGCCGATATGTATAAACTCAATATAAAAGAATAATAGTATTGTATTATATATTTAAATGAGGTATATAAGAGTAGATGAAAGAAAAAAAATGTTTATAATAATTTTATATTCATTTTAGATTTTGGATGAAACGATGATGATTTATTTTTATTTATGTATAGGTTCAATCATTCTTTTATGAGTACTCCATATTTGTTATACAGTGCTATCAGACAGTACGAATTCTCATCCATAGTGGGTAGGAACTATATTTCTATTTTTAATATTTCAATTATTTAAAAATCTCTTTAAGAAATATGACCAAGTGGATGAAATTTGAGGTACGCCTATTTTTAGCCAAATCGGATTTGGTAATTTTCTAGTAATGAATTGAAAATAAAAAAGATAATCAAAAATCATTTATTGTTAATTTTCCATTGCATAGACATATATGAAAACTTGGAGAATAAACTATAGCACATATGCACATAGGGTTAAATATATAACTCAAAGCTTTTAAGATTTTTTTTTTTTTTTATGATAAAACCATTTAGCACAAGTACGATTTACGTGTGATTTAAAAAATGTCATCCTAACATATCATACAAGTCTTCTAGTTTTAATTTTGTAAATATTAAACCAAGTGACTCAATATACAATATTAAGTGGTATACAATAGCATTAGACCATATTAGTGTGTCCAAAATTCTAATCTCTTGATGGCGATTTTTTCCTGTTTAAAAAATTGAATTCCCCGTGGGTGGTATAATGATAGTTTAAATCTTCAATTATTTATTTAATTCCAATAAGCACTTAAACAATTTTTACAAGAAATATATCAAATAATTTTATAAGATAAATATACATTTTTAAAATTGTCTAATAAATGATTAAATATTTTACCAATAAAAAAAGAATAAAGGTTGAAGTTATAAATAAATAATAAACGGTTATGAATATTTTATAAATATGATTATGATGTTCATATTTATTGTAGTATGATGTGTAATAAAATATAAGTAGTAGGTATTGGAAATCTGCCATATCATATTTTCTTTTACGTTTCAAATTTATTTATAGAAACAATAAATCGGAAGGGACGTTTTCATAAGGTTGACCATCGTGAAAAATTGTCTGTCACATTTTATGATGAGGTGAAGAGGACGTGAATAAGGATAGGTCAAAAACCACATTGCCTCAGTGTGTCGGAAACGGGTCATGAAATCTTTTCCAAGTATTCTGAAAAAAAAGAGACTTGGGGCAGCTGTGATTCGTATTTAGTCGGAACAAACATGATTTCCCATCGGACACTCTCTTGAGAGTTAAAACTTTTTTATCCAATGAATAATGAAAAGTTTTGATAGGTTTTAGTGGAATTAAGTGTTTATAAATGAATACAAATATATTTAACATTTTCTATCCGGTTTCATTTAAGCGTATTTCAAAATGATTGCTTTTCAAATACTTACTGCGGAGTCATTTTCAACGGGCGATGGCGAAGGTACTTGGAAACCGTTGATACCGGAACCCTTCATTTCAAAACAGCTTCGTCATGTCCACTTCTCGTATTTGAGTACAAACTAAAAACAAACAGGAAATTATATTAAATTCACTTCGGATACACATTTATTATTCTTAAATAGCTAGTTTCGAAGTTGGAATCGATAAAATTAAATTCCATAAACAGTTTAAATGGTAAAATGATTTACCATCATTCAAAACTATAACTTTTCACCAGATCACTATAATAGTAAATACAGTAATACACATATTCATAAATAATGTATAAAAAGTTTTAAATAATACATCGTATCAATTTAAATGAATCAATATTTTTATTAATTTGTTTTTGTGTGTTTACATTTTTTATTTGTCAAGAATGTCAAACAGCCATGATTTCTACGGTTTAAAAAAGAAATCAGTAAATCAATCAATCCTAATTTTTAAACATAATATAAAATAAAATTAATAATTAAATATTATATAAATATATAATATTATAAACCTAATACAAATAAATATATACATTTTTATTAAATTCCGAAGCCCAAACACAAATGTGTACAAATAAAGTCAACACTTCTAGTTATCATACTTATCATATATTTTTGTTTTTACTAATTATATTTTTTTTGAAAATTACGTTTTTAGGTTGAAATTAAATTATCTTCTTAAACCTAAATAGTGAATACTGTCACATAGTGAGCACAAAATAAAAGGTACTTTTTGTTAAAATGTGTTCATCTACGATCTAAAAAATACCTTATCAAATTATTGTATTTAAATAATTTCACTGTACTTATCTACCTATCAAGAAACTATATTTAAACTTTGACATTTTATTATTGTAGTCAATTGTGTTTTAATACATTGACTTTAGTGTTCCGGTTCGTTTCCTTAATAAAACATAGCTTTTTTCCATTTGTTAATCTTCGAATTTTCTATTCTGTACCTACACAAAAAATTTAAAAAAATTGTTTTTGACATTATTAATTTTCTTTTTGAAAAGAATATTCCAATTGATTCATTAAAACAATAGTTTTAATAACTATTTAAAGTATGGATTATAGTTGAGTTTTTACATTTTATATACGACTATATTTCTAAATAAGATACTTTTTTGTTTCTATTCTCTATAAAAAAATTGTTAAAAATTATTACCAATAATCCGTAGATTTTTTAATATTAGAAAATGATTACTTAACCAGTGATAAAATATAGAATAGTGAAAAGTAAAAAAAAAAAACAAGTTATCATAATTTTTGAACAACCTATTACTAATCTAATGAATCTCATTTAGGTGTATTATGAAAAATAAAAATGAGGATCTCACATTTAATTTTAAGTTTAACATTAGGTTTTTTTTTTTACTTAATTGTTTTATTTCATACAGTTTATATTATTTACCTGCCTATCTCACGATACTTAAGGTAGTAATATTTTATCATTTTGTATATTTTTAATTTATCCATTACTGGAATATTTGTGTTACAAGATTTAAGCCGTTTAATTAATTATAATAATAAGTATAATAATACCAATAATATAATTACTACTTTAGTAATGTAAAAGGTATTAGTTTGCTCGGTCAACTTTTAAATAGAATACCATGTGAATCATTGGCATATAGTTATATAAAATATATGCGTGATCATAAGATTGTATGAAATATAAATATTATCAGTATAACTGTATTTCAGTTTTCAATATACTATATAACAAAATTATAGATATTTACTATTATTTATTACCATTCAGACTTGTAATTATATTACGTATTTCATTCTCAGAGCTTTAGTTTATTTTTGTTTCACAACTTTATATTTATTTATGTTTTTAAATTAACTTAGGTTAAAAATAAACTTCAAGTATATAATAATATGGTTAATAATTGAGGGGCATTTACACTCGATTGGTAAAAGTCAATGTCAAAATGTGTGGTTAACAATAGAATTCGATTTTTTTTTTAGGGTGCGATTGTTGTGATTATATTCCATAGCTTTAATACGGTAACCATGACAATTTATAAATTAATTTACATGTATACCTACTAATATTAATTTATTTTGTAACAAAGCTCATATTATTTTATTGCTTTTAAAAACATTTTTTATATGATTTATGTGCAATACAATTTATTTTATTTTTATTCATTTTATGGTTCCAATACGAACTTTCAGAATTTATATTTTTTCTTATATCTGAATTAAAAGGAATCCAAAATGTATTAATTTATTTTTATAAATTGAACACATTTTTAGTACAGTTTTATGAATAATTAAATTTTATATGAATTAATTTTATTTTAATTATATTTAAAACCAATACGATTTAATTTTTATAAAATAATATTTACTATCCATGTAGATTCTTTTATAAAGTTACACGATTGACTTGAAAATTACAATACACGTCAACAAATAATATCACGAAATTGTTTATGTCACGAAAATACTTTACCTCATCCTACTTAACAAATGTATTTTCTTTGTTACAATATTAAAAATACATAATTATTGTTATACACATTTTTGATTTAAAATAAATATTGAACTTTTATTGGTTTTTTGAAGATATTAAATATATTCTGGATTTTTCGACACTTTTCGATGGCGGTAATGTGAAATCATAAAAACTTTAAAATTAAAACTGTATATATCACTAACACAGATTGCTCGTACAACATGACACATTCTTTTAGTGTCCCGATTATATTCTAAAAACCCGGAAAGTAAATATTAACTTAAGCAGTTTTCAATAAAATCTTAGTTGTTTTCAAGCAAACCAAACTTTCTAAAGAATCGATCATTTTTGTGCAGAAATAATATAAAAATGATAATAATAATATACAGGTATTACGCTAATCCTTGCCAAGATAAATGTTAAATGAAATAATTTGTATACATAGGTGTTGGAGTTCTTAAAATATTTTCTTGACAATTTAAACGGGGTTCAACTTTGAGTGACGTACGAGAGAAGTATTGGGCTGTCAATTCGAACGCGATTACGTCAAAATGCATTTAACAGTGCATACGTATGTTTGCGTTAATGTATGAAATTCCGTAAATCTATAAAATAACTAGTTATTTGATAGAATTTTGGGTACTTCTAGTTAATACATTGAATGAATCCAAAATTACATACTTAAACTAGTTATACTATACACAAACTAGATATTTAATCGTAAAAGTAGCGGTTATACATGATTTTCTAGGGGGGGGGAGCGATAAAAAGCCAATCCTCGTCCATCCCTTACCATATATATATGTTACGACGAATTTCTGAAATTGCCAATTTCATGAAATTAGCAACGTTGTCACCGAATACGTGTAATCGGAAATTTGGCTACCAAATTCACGAAAACGGCAAATTTTGATTGCTGATTTCGTGAATTAGGCAGCCTTTTTCTGTTCACATTCGGTAACAAATTATTTTTATTATTATTATAATTATAACACGTTATTATGATATAATAACAAATAGTGGCTTATGGCAGTAATTAAAAATTTCCTCCCTCCTTTAAAGTTAGTGACAATGAGCTGGTGTCAATCCCGTCAGTGGATCGAAGGTGAAGTGATGCAGTCTACCTTCTTGCAGTTATCATAAAAGAAAAATATGGCAAATTTCGTATCGGGAATAAAAAAGAGATTTTAAGCACATTGCTGGAGCTGAACAGTTAGGCAGCTACAAAGTACTGTTCCCTGTCGACTGCAGACGTTCAACAAAAAGAATATTCACTATGGGAACTTGCTAGATTGGGGTCAGTTGGGACAGGACAAGGCTATTGATTGGCTATATATTGACGTTGTACTTGTCGTACGAATTGCACATCTAAAAAGCGCACATGTAAAAAAAATAATACGATGTGTAATTCGGCATGTCACCCAGGCCATACATGCCAAAATATTTAAATATAATATAATTTTTTTTTTGTGTTTACTTTTCTTACACATTTATTTAAATACATATAATATTTATTATTATAATTTGATTTTATTATATTTCCAGCGTTTTATACATTTATTTAAATTAAATTATGCTTTATAATTTTTTAAAAAGGGTCTTGCTGATTTCATGAAATCGGCAATTTCATAAATTCGGCGTAACATGTATATACATATATATATATATATATATATATACAAATATTATAAGTATAAATGTATAACAATGTTTATATACTCGAATTAATAATATAATCACAATTTAAAATAAATGTATTAAAAAAAAAGATATAAATGTATTGACTTATGAAATTCATCTTATAATAATGATATACAATTTGCAGATAGATGTTAATGGGTCAGTGATACACTAATTTAAAAAACCAATTCCCAAGGGGGGGCTACTTATTGCTCCCCACTTATAACTACCACTGACTCGTAATAAACTAATAATAACGATTTAGTTAATTTACTTAAAATTATTAATAAACCCTTACATAAAAAAATATACATTTTCAAAAAATGTATTCTGTTTGAGTAACGTAATTTTATTCAAATTTTTAAATTATTAAAATGTTAAATAAATGAAAAAAATGAAAATATTAAATAAATTTAAACATGACTTAATTATATTATTATAATACGAGTACAAATATAATTTTTATTTACTTGTATAAGTATCTACACGCATTTTTTGGGTGGCATTTAGAGTTATAAAGTAAATTATTTTTAAACATATGCACCATTTTTAGTACTTTTTTTAAAATTTGCATATGAAAAACACTTGACTTTGGAATCAGGATGTGGATTCCTTTTGAAGACAATTATCTTCATTTGAGATGTCACTTAGCGTAATACATTTTTTGCGTAAATATTAAATTATGATTATAAATTTTACACATTAGCAAAAAACCAACTGGTATTCTATATATTAAATAATAAAATCATGTAGGTAATATAAATGTTACCAGCAATATGAATAATTCAGGTATTTTCAAATTCCTAGGCATTATGCAAAATGCCAATATTTTTTTAGGCAAGGTACAAAACATTTTATTATATGTTATATTACATTAAGATTCTTATAATTATTATATATTATTACTTGTATTGCAGACAAAATATAATTTTTATCT